TGCCTCAGCCTCCCGAGTAGCTGGGACTACAGGCATGCGCCACATGCCCGGCTTAATTGTTAGCTATCATATATTAGTTGGCATTTAATTTCTTTCTCTTTATAGTAGAGACGGGTCTCGCTCGGTGCCATGTGGTTTCGAAACTCCTGATCGGGCAATCGCCGGCCTCAGCCTACCCAGGGAGTGCTAGGATTACAGCGTGAGCCACCGCGCCCGGCTTCAAGCTTAAATCTTTATCTCACTGTCTGCAACGCTGAACTACCGCAGGCAGGGACAGGGTGACGTCCTGTCCCAGCAAGTGTCACAGCAAGGCTAACAGCCCCACCAACCAGGGAAAGAACTGAGCACACAGAGGGGCGGAGAATCAGCCTTTATTGCACCAGTGGGCTCAGAGGGGCATGACGCCAAATTCTGATCAGGCTTCCTTGTTCCCTTTCGTGTTTTTTTTGTTTTGGTTTGTTTTTGGTTTTTTTGAGACAGAGTCTCACTCTGTTGCCCAGGCTGGAGTGGATGCCGTGGCGTCAGCCTCGTCACAACTCCGACTCGCTGGACCCACAGCCAGATCCTCTGCCTCAGGCTCCCCCGAGTAGCTGGACTACAGGCTGGGCCGCCACGCCCGGCTATTTTTTTTTCTATATATTTTTAGTGGCCATAATTTCGCCCGGCCTGCTTCCCCGCGCCCGCCCTCAAAGGGACCGAGGACGAGGACCCCGCTCCCAGCAGCGAGACCTTGACCCTGGACGTTGGGTGAGGGAGGGGGCGGGTTGTAGTCCCAAACCGACGCCAAAAGCAGACGGGACCCGCGCGCCCACGGGCGGCCCTGTCTCAGCGGGGACGGCCCACGGCTTGGGCGCGCGAAGGGCCGAGCCCTTGGTGGCCACACCCGGCGCGGCGGCCCCACCCCGGTGGCCGGGCCGCGGGCCTGCGTCCCGCACGGAAGCCGCGGCGTCCACTGGAGTCCAGTCTCCGGGCCGGAGGAGGCAGAGGGGGCCTCTCCCCGGGACGCAGGACAGACACTTTTGCTGGTGGCTGACGCCCGCGTTTGACCAAAGGGAATATAAATTACCGTGTACCCAAACTAGCGCTGTTGCTTTCAGAAAGAGAATAAGAAAGAGAGAGAAAACAGAGTCAAGCCGCACCCCGAGGCGGCCTTTGCGGGGGGCTCCCCGCAGCCCGGGGCGCGGTGCGGAGGCGGAGACTCCCCCCGAGGCCGTCCTGCGTGCGGGGCCTCGCCACCGACGGACTCAGGAAACCAGGCGACAAGGCAGCGTGGATCCCCCAGACGGGACAGAAAATCCCGGGGGTGCAGGGGGGACGGAAAACCCGGCCCCCCAGGCCCGCAACGGCCGGGTCCCCAAAGGCGAGGGGGTCATAGAGAAAAAAACCTTCCGCCGCGTCCTTCCGGTCACCCGGGGGAGCTTTTGCAGAGGAGAAGGAAGAGGAGGTGCGTCCACGGCGACAGTCTCATCCGAATCCGGACGCCCTCCCCCCTTGCCAGGTGTCCGGCGGTGTCTCCAGGCCGGGCCTGGGAGGGCGCACGCACGCGCCTTGCCTCCCGGGGCGCGCTGGCGGGGCGAGGTCTAGGGGGGTCCAGCGAGGGAGCCGGCCTCAGTGCTGGTGGCAGCAGCCGATGCCGCCTTCCGCCTGCTCCAGGACGTCCAGCATGCCCTCGATGATGGCCCGCAGCGCCCTGCCCAGCTGGCCCGCGTCGTAGGGCTTGCCCAGCGGCGGCACGTGCACGAAGGCCGAGCGCCCGCGGCTCTGGTACAGGGAGGTGTAGTAGGTGAAGTCACACAGGTACCTGCGCCGCGTGGGGGGGGGGAGCGGGGCAGAACACGACAGACAGGTCACCGCGCCCGTCCGCAGACCCAGGGCACGGCCTCCCCTGCAAAGGCCAGACCTCCGCTCCCGGCCTCCCTCCCTCCGCGGGTCGGCGACAGATCGAGGTGCTGTCGCGCGGCGAAGAGGCCGGTGGGGAAAATTAGCATCGCCTAGACTTTACGGCCTGCCATGTCAGCCTCTTATTTTTATTCTTATTTATTTTTGAAGCAGAGTCCCGCTCTGTTGCCCCGGGGCTAGCGTGTCAGCCTCGCTCACAGCAACCTCCAACTCCTGGGCTCAAGCGATCCTCCTGCCTCAGCCTCCCCGCAAGTAGCTGGGACTACAGGCATGCGCCACCACGCCCTGGCTCATTTTTTCTATATATATTAGTTGGCCAATTAGTTTCTTTCTATTTTTAGTAGAGACGGGGTCTCGCTCTTGCACAGGCTGGTCTCGAACTCCTGACCTCGCCCCGATCCTCCCGCCTGGGCCTCCCAGAGTGCTGGGATGACAGGCGGGGGCGCGGCGCCCGGCCTGTGTCCAGGTTTTAGGGTCTACCGCCAGGCGCCGTCTGTGTGAGAAAACACAAGCAAGGGCGTTGGCTGTCTCGCTGCCACGTCTAGAATCGGAAAGGGAGACGGCGACCCGAGCGTGCCCGGGCGCGGCGGCGCTGGGTAAACCCGGGTTTGCGCGCGCCCCGGGGAGCCACGGAGCTGTGGACCGCGTCCGACTGGGAAGGAAGTGAAGAACCCCGGGGCAAGAGGGGAAGGGACAAGACAGCGAGAGAGAACGGAGGGGCCGCAGAGGCCCCTGGGTGAAGGCGGGGGAAGGGAATTCTCGGGAACCGCCCACCTTGGACCCTGACCACACGGAAGCAAAGCGGAAAGAGGCCAGACCCTAAACCCGCCTGCCAAGTGACCCCTACACGCACAGCAAGGTGGGGACGGGCAGGAGGGTGCGCGCCCCGGTTTCCGAGTTATCAGAGAGGTCCCCGGGGGAGAGAGGACAAGGGGCTTCTCCACAGTGAGAGTGTACGAGGACACATCCTAAAATTATCTGTGTGATTGGAAATTCATTTCAAAAAGAGAATTGCGGTGGCTCACCCCTGTCATCCCAGCACTCTGGGAGGCCTAGGCGGGCGGATTGCTGGAGCTCAGGAGTTCGAGACCAGCCTGAGCAAGAGCTCTGAGACCCCGTCTCTACTAAAAATAGAAAAATTAATCGGCCAACTAAACATACACAGAAAAAAATGAGCCGGGCGTGGTGGCGCATGCCT